TTAGCAAAAACCCACGGTAATCAAGACAGGGTGCTGGCATTAAGAACACACCTAGAGACCAATGGAACACAACTGAGCATCCAGAAATAAGCCCATACATGTATGGTCAACTGATTTTCAACAAGGGTACCAAGACCATTCGACAGGGAAAAAATTGTCTCTTCAACAAGTGGTGCTGGGACAGCTGGACATCCACGCAAAGAATGAAGTTGGATCCCTATCTCAAATCATATACAAAAATTAACTCAAAATGGATCAAAGAACTAAATGTAAGAGCTAAAACTATAAAACTCTTAGAAGAAAACCGGGAAAAATATTCATGACCTGGGATTTAGCAATAGATTCTTAAATATGACACTGAAAACATGAACAACAAAAGAAAAAACAAACAAACTGGACCTCATCAAAATTAAAAACATTTTTGCATCAAAGGACATTATGCAAAAAGTGAGGGGGCTGGCTCAGTGGCATAGCGGTTAAGTTTGCACATTCCGCTTCGGAGGCCCAGGGTTCCCGGTTCGCATCCTGGGTGCAGACCTACTCACCACTCATCAAGCCATGCTGAGGCAGCGTCCCGTATAGAAGAGCTACAACTCTACAACTATGATACACAACAATGTAGTGGAGCTTTGGAGATAAAAAAGAGAAAGATTGGCAACAGATGTTAGGGCAGGGCCAATCTTCCTCAAAAAAATAAAATATTTTTTAATTAAAAAAAAAAGTGAAAAGACTACTGACAGAATAGAGGAAAATATATGCAAATCATATATTTGATAAGGACCTACTCTCCACAATTTACAGAATTCTTAGAACTCAACAAGACAACATAATTAAAAAGTGGGCAAAGGATCTGAATAGACATTTCTCCAAAGAAGATACACAAATGGGCAACAAGTACATGAAAAAAACCTCTTACTCTTCAGGGAAATGCAAATCAAAACCACAATGAGATACCACTTCACACCCACTGGGATTGCTGAAATCAAAATGATAGACAACAAGTGTTGGTGAGGATGTGGAGAAACTGGAAACCCTCATCCACTGCTGGTGGGAATATAAAATGGTGCAGCCACTGTGGAAAACAGTCTAGCAGTTCCTGAAAAAGCTAAGCATAAGTTACCATTTGACCCAGCAATTCCACTCCTAGGTATATACCCAAGAAAAGTAAAAACATATGTCCATACAAAAATTTGTACACAAATATTTATCGGAGCATTATTCGTAAGAGCCAAAAAGCAGAAACAACCCAAATGTCCATCAACTGATGAATGGATAAACAAAATGTAGCATAGCTATACAATGGCATGTTGTTCAGCCATAAAAAGGAATAAGTACCAATACCTGCTACTACGCAGAGGAACCCTGACAACATTATGCCAAGTCAAAGAAGCCAGTCATAAAGGACCATATATTGAATGATTCCATTTACATGCAATATCTGAAACAGGCAAGTCTAGAGACAGAAAGTGGATTAGTAGTTGCTTAGGGCTTAGGTGTGGGGAGATAAGGGGATGATGGCTAAAGGGTAGCAATTTCTTTTTGAGATGATGAAAATCTTCTAAAATTGACTATGGTGGTGGTTGCACATATCTGTGAATATAGTAAAAACCATTGAATTGTACACTTTAAGCAGGTAAATTGTATGGTATGTGAGTTATATCTCAATAAAGCAGTTACAGAAAAAGAGGAAAGATCTGAGATGCAAGAATATTGGGCAAAGATATGGGTAAACATGTAGGACATCTAAACATCATATAAGATAAGACTGTAAACTGTGATTTTCAAAAGGAACACAAAGAGAATACTGACATTAACTGCATGTAAACTGGGAGAGGTAACTGGAATTAACATGTCCCAAGTCCTTATATTGCGTGTTTGTGTGGCGAGGAGGAGAGGTGGGGCTTAAGGTATTTATTGATTGACTTTAGACTTTAAATATGTGTGGTGGAATTGTACAAGTAACCACTAAAATGACAGAATGTGTAACTTCCAAATAAAGAGAGCAAAAATGGAATATAGAAACTAACAAGCAAAAGTGAACAGAGGTCAGCGAACTACGGTCCAGGGGCCACCTCCAGCCGCCACCTGCCTTGTGAATGACGTCTACTGGAACACAGCATGCTCGCTGGCGTCTGTCTGTGGCCGCTTCCGAGCTACAATGGCAGAGTCGAGGAGCGCGCAAGAGGCCAGGCCTACAGAGGCTGAAGCCTTTACTGTCCATCCTCTCACAGCAGGAGTCTGTGGACTCCTGCTACAGAATACCAGACACAGGCAGGACGCAAGAGTCACTCTGCAGTTTCCCGAGCCTGGAAATAAAGATGACATCCCCTCCTCTCTCATTTCATCAGAGGTACAAGGCTCAATTAGATAAACCATATTCATGAAACAACTTCTAACAGTCTGTGGCCTAGGAATGTTCTCAACTTGCTCCCAGCTTCACAACCACCCTCTTCAGATTCCAACCACCAGAACCTAGCTCCCTAAAGCAAAAAAAGAGGCAGCCCCTAATATTCCAACACAGAGCGACCTCAAGCTTATATTAAATGCAAGCTGCAAACAATGCATATAACCCCCAGATGGCGTGCCGGTGCCTGTGCACGTGTGTGAGGGTCTGAAAAGACACACTGTTAACTGCAGACATCATGGCTTGGGCAGGAATACTGTCACATCCACAGGCAGGTGTCAGAAGTCATGCAGAGATCCTGAGTCCCCTTTACCCAGTCTCCCCCAATGGTGACATCTCGAAAAACTATCGAGTACAACAGCAGAGCCAGCACAGCCAGGATAGTGACACGGATACACTCCCTTATCTTATTTCCATCTCCCAAGTTCTACTCCTGTGTGGATGTATGTCATCACACGTGAAGGTGTGCATCCACCACCAGAGTCAAGAGACAGAGCAGTTCCACCACAAGGATTTTTTATAACCACACCCACCCTCCTTCCACCTCCCAACCTACGGCAACCACTCATCTTGGTCATTTCAAGAATGTCATAAAAACAGAGTCATAGTGTGTGGCTTTTTGGGCTTGGCTTCGTCACTCTGCACAATTCCCTGAAGATTCACCTAGGACGCTGTGTGGACAGAGTCCATTCCTTCCACTGCTCAGCAGAGCCAGTTTGTGAAACCTGCTGCAGGTGCCCGGCTGACAGAGCCTGGGCTGTGTCGTCTCCAGCTATGACAAGTAAGGCGGCTGTGACCACCGCTGCATGGGGCTGTGGCTGAGCATATACTGTCCCTTCTCTGTGACAGACACCCAGGCAAGCAGGTGCAGGGTTGCAGGGGACTTGCCAATTCAGTTTTGTAAGAAGCTCCCAAACTGTCTTCCAGAGTGGCTGGTGCCAAGTGATGCGCCCCCAGCACGGAGCAGGGATCCCTTCTCTCCGCGCCCGCATTCAGTGTTGCCCCACTGTACTTCTAGCCATTCTGACAGTTGTGTAATGACTGCCTGAATCTCTCACCACAAGATTATGTTTACATAGGAGGTTAAAAAACTGAAATAAAATTAAAAAGTAATCCATGCTTATTTAGTAGGAATTTTGAAAAACACAGAAATGTATAAAAAAGGAAGTAAAGTCCTGTTTCTTCTCTTGAAAAGAGAAGCAATGCTGTTATTTATCCTAAATCAACGTACCCAAGTTGCAGACAACACAGGGCCGATTCTGTCGCTTTATCCTGATACAGAGGCTCTGCTTGGCCGAGTGCCTCCACCAACTCCCCCACACCCTTGGCTTCAAGGGGACCTTTGGGAAACCCGACAGCTGCAGAAGAGGGAGCAGCAGCCTCGGCCGGACGAGTGTGAGGACTCTCCACATCTGGGAACCACACACGTCGTCAGGGCCAGACAGGCGAGCCCAGGAGCTGCCCATGTGCACGCACAGAAGGAGGTCACCTCACTCCCACTAGAACAGGGTTCCTTAACTGTTTTCGCATCTAGCAAAAGCTTTGACAGCCCAGCGAAGCCTACGGATCCCTCTCAGAATAACATTTTTAAATGCAGAAAATAAAAAACAGAGGGTGACCATGTTAAATACTGAAATATTTTTTGAAACACATCTATTACATAGCACTCATAACAAAACCTCAGTGGGGGCCGGCCCCATGGCCTAGTGGTTACGTTTGGTGCGCTCTACTTCAGCAGCCTGGGTTCAGTTCCCAGGCGCGGACCTACACACTGCTCATCAGCCATGCTGTGGCAGTGACCCACAAGCAAAAGAGAGGAAGACTGGCACAGATGTTAGCTCAGGGCCAATCTTCCTCAGCAAAAAAAAATGAAAAAACCGCCACCTCAGGAGGGATGAAGATAAAGACAGCGTGAGGTGTCTGCAGCAACTGCAGGGTGAAAGGGAAAGCTCTGATTTCTCCTAGTGGCAAAGCTGGGAGTCCTGCTGACTCCATGGCGGTCGCTGCCACGTTTGTAATGGAAGGAAACGTGACATGTCAGTTAGAGGTTAGTGAAGATAAACATGTAACTTTTTTCCTATCCAAGTTTATGGAGCCTCTGAATTCCCTGATTTCGCTGAACCAGAAAGAGCAGGACCAGCCTCTTCCCTAAGAGATGCTCCCAGGCTGCCCCTGGGCCTGCATTCTGGGGGAAGGAAGCCGCCCCCACACAGCCGCAGGTTAGGGGTCCCAGCCCCCAGCGAGGGCTGCAAGGAGAGGGTGGTTGGCATCATCCGTTCTAAGGCTGCTGAGGGGGAAGCACAGAGCAGTGGCCCCAGGTCCTGGACCCCAGCAAGGGCGGGGAGGGGGGCTGGGCCTGGGGTGGGCTGGAGCCAACTGAATGAAGGAAAATCCTCCCTAAGAGCTGGGGTAACGTGTCATGACCTGGCCCAGTCCACCTGGGGGAAACTTCAGCCACTTTTTTTTTTTTAATCCCCAATTTTTCTGCTTTAACCGTGAGGAGTAGGTAGTGGGAAACAAGATTTCTTGAGAAAACCCCAAGTTAGTGTTAAGAACCTAAGGAGCACGCAGTGTGTTTCCAGAAGAGTCTGCTCACCTTCGTCAGTGCGAAGGCCACTGTCCCGTCGTCCTCAGTGGAAAGATCAAGCAGCTTCTGGTAAAACGCTTCATCATAAGGCCCATCTATTTGCAACGTTTTTCTGAAGGAGAAAGAACAAAAAAACAGGATGACAAAACTGCCTGGAGATTATTTCTTAAACTGCAAACAACTGAACAGTCACACACCTGGTTTTAAAGAACACCTAATGGATCCTCCTCTTGCTAACACTAAACTTGGTTCTGAAGCATCACAGTGTTAAATAGGGCTGCACCAGCACCCAGGGAGCCAAGGCTGAATGTCCCATGTTTGTGACAAACGGCGCCCGGGTTGGAGACCTTAATGAAGGGGCAGTGGGGATGAAGGGAGTCCAGGCTAGGGGAAAGGCCCTGGCCCCACCACATGCCACAGATGTGGACCCATCAAGTCGCCCCTGGGGACAGACAAGGCTGTGCACGAAGGCCAGCTGACACGGAGCCCGGGGCTGAGCCGGCGACTCGCCGGCTGTGGAGCAGCACTGCCCCCTGCAGGCTCGGCCCTGACTCAGGACACAGAACTGCCCAGTGCAGGACTGTCAGGTTCACATTCTAGAAATGGGCAATTGACCACTGATCCAACAGGACCCTGGTCCTCCTTCATATGGTACTGAATCCTCGGGCCAGGCCTGGCACCTGAGGGCAGGAAGGGAGGTGGCCAGGGTGGGTCATCCTCCTGGGAGGCCTGTACCCTCCTCCTGTCGGGCACTCCCTCCCCACATTCCTGTCTTGCACTGAGGACTGCTCGGGGCCCCACCAGCAGGCCCAGAGGGGCAGGGGCACCACAGGCCCGGGCCTCACCTCTCCTCAGGAAACTCCTCCAGGTACCTCTCAACCCGCCGGTACAGTGGGTAGAGGCCTTCAATGTCCAGCAGGTCCAACATCTGCACCTGGAGGGTTTTGTACAGAAGACAGCCCTTCGGTAACCCTGAGCGCTCCGGGGTGTTTTTTCCTACCAAGAACATCAGGGGAAAACGAGAGGTTTACTGTCGAGGACTGAAGAAGGCGGCGGGCACAGGCCGCACCCTGCCTCACGGAGCTGCTGGGGCTGGGCGCGTGGGCACACAGGGCAGGCACAGAAGAAAGAACAGGCAGCCCACATCTCGCTCTGCGCCTCTCCTCCAGCATCCTTTACCTCCCATCACACCAGCCCACATCTCACTGCTGCCCACTGCACACTTGCTGATACACAGACAGGCTTCTGCTAATCAGGCAAAAATGTCAGTTTAGAGACACGCCCTTCACTCCAAATGAGACAAGGCACAAAATGACCCCAACACCTCAAATATGCAAGACGGCATCCGCAGAGCCCAAAGCCATAGCCCCTGCTGACAGGTGGTGGCTGCACCGAGGACGGTGGTCAAAGCTGCTGCTGACAAACCAATAGCGAGGAGCCGTCACCGCAGGGACGCTGGGGGAACGAAGTCCACTCCACCCTCGAGCGTGCTTGGGTCCCTGCCGTGCACCAGGCACCACAAGGGCTGGGGAGACGGCCCCGCCCATCTCCCCCATCAAGGGAACCACCACGTCTCGCAAACAAAAAATGACGATGCAGAGGACGCCCACGTCCCAGCAGGAGAGGCTGTGGCCATATGCAGTCCTGACACTCTGGTCACCAAAGGACACACCTGCCACGCAAGACAGACCCAGCCGGAAGGATCTGTCAAAACTACAGGCCGGCCGTGCAGCGGCGCACCGCCCTGGGGGTCAGTGCAAGCACCAGACGACACTTGCTGATACACAGACAGGCTTCTGCTAATCAGGCAAAAATGTCAGGTACAAAGCAGCACGTGGAGCAGGGCGCACACCCCACAGGTCACGCTTGTGTCCACACACGCGTCCAGGAAGGTCGAGAAGGGAAGTCCTCAGCTGTCAACGGTGCCTCAGCAAACCGCACCCACTGTGTGTCCTTCCAGACATGTTCCGTCTACTGAACACCAGTTGTGTGTCCAAACATGAGCATAATTTTACCAGAATTTTCATCACTTTTTCAACAAGACAAAAACCGACAAAATTCATTTATGCTGAGAAAAATTCGGTGTGTGGGACAGACAAAGGTGGTTTGTTGTGCCTGGGTGGCCGCAAGGCAAAAAGCACAGCACCGGAAAGCCACGCAGGAGCAGGGCTGCCGTCCTCCCACGCCACACCCCACGGCGTCCTCAGGGCTCTGAGAGAGCACATGGGTCTTGAGCACCAACAACAAATAATCCGAGTCCCAAGATATGTTCCTGGCTACAGCTCCGCATACCACAGACCTGAGCCTGTTGAGCAGCCGCCAGCAGACTACCAAAGGGCAAACAAGGAGCCCATGAACGTTCACAGCAAAAACTCAAACCAGCCACCAGGCTGCCTCGAAGCCCGGGCGCCATTGAGTCAGAGCCGCCCGGTGGTGAGTCTGTGAGAAACCGGGCTTTAAGGAGGAGGCGCCTGGAGCCACAGGCCCCACATGCCTGTGTTCACACATGTCTGCAAACCACTGCCCACTGGGGCCACCCCTGCCCTAAAGGGCCTTGCTCTGTGGGACTCTGACCTCTGTGCCTCAATCTTCCAAGTCTAAGAAACAGGCCAAGGAAAACCCACCCCGAGGGCTGCAGTGAGGATGGACGGGACAAGGCAGAGAAAGCGCTCAGCACCTCACAGAGGATGCAGACACGTGAGACAGTATTTCACGGAGAGCCCTACAGCCCACACGTGTGCTGCGATCTACAGGCCCACACAGAAGATGAGAAAGGGAGGCTCCCCGCCCCAGGGCTGAGAGGCGAGAGAGAAGCCCGGCCCTGGGGAGCCCTGACGGGGCCCAGGCTGCTCCTACAGAAGCTCCGTGAGGCCAGGCAAGACCCGCGCAGGCTGCACCCCCACCCGCCTGCCCGGGCCTACCTTGGCGGCGCAGAGTCCTGCAGAAAGGGCTGGCTTCGCAGACACGTGGGCCCCGTGGCCCGGGCCCCGGCCTCAGGGCACCCGCCCGGCCCTTGTCTGAGCCGCTCAGCAGCACCCGCGTGATGACGCGCACCAGCTCCCGGATCACAGCCCTTGTGCAGTGCGGCCCACCGGCCAGGCCGTTGGACGGGAAGAAGAACGGCTTCAGGTGGTACGCGAGCTCACTCCAGTCAGCCACGGGGCTGCGGGCATCTTTGCAGCCGTAAATCAGCTCACCATTCTTCCGGCGGGGAAGGAGACAGGGAATCGTCAGCTTCAACAGCCCGTTAGGAAAACACCTCCATCCCTGCCCACTGTCAGGCAAAAGGACGTGACATTTCACGTGTGCCCCATCTGAGGTCCCTGCACACTGCAGCCTCCGGGGAAACCCACCCTCACATACCACATCAGTGACCAAGAAGCAAATCCCACTGGAACGAGAAAAAGAAAAGTTCTCAAAAACTGGAGACCAGAGTCTTGGCCTGAAATACCAACCCTTAGACCAGAATAGGCAGCACACCAGCAGCCTCAAGCAAACTCGGCCCAAAGCGCAAACTCCCAAAGACCCCAGCCCGTTACTCGAGAGGCTGCATGACACCACTGCTACTGACGGACGCACGGCGTCAGTCTGACCCTGAGCGGGCAAGCTTCTGGGCCAAGGTGGACGTCTGTTGGCCACCAGCATCCCAGAGGGCTCTGTCCTCTGTGACAGGCTGGGCCAGGCTCCCAAAAGAATGGGTAAAGCCACCAGCATCACTAGTGTGGAAATCTTCATCTTCGAGGCCATCCTGCCTTCTAAAACCAAGTCCAGCAAAGAAACTCCCTACAGCACTGACATTCTCAGGGCTGCAGGCAGGAACGCCAGTGGGCCTGACCTCAAGACTTTCATGGGGGCCTGTGGTATTTGGGGATGAAGTCCCTAAGAGAACCCTGGTCCTCACAGCTCTGAGCAGCAGCCACCCCTGGCGAGTGACAAACAACTTGCTCCTAGTTTCCTCGTTGGTGAGACAGTGTAGTCAGCAGCCTCTGGAACGGTCCCCAATGGCCCTCTCCCTTTATACTCACATCCCCATAGTCCTCTCCTGGAGGTTTGGTCTGTGTGACCAACAGAATACGGGCAGAGCAACAGACCATCCCTGGCAAGATTAAGTTATAAAAGATGCTGTGGCTTCCATCTTGGTGGCTCTCTTCTCAGATCACAGTGGCCACATTGACCAGCCCCGTGGAGCCCCATGTGGCCAGGAACTAAGGCCTCCTGCCTACAGCTGCAGGGGGCCATCCTGGGAGCAGAGACTCTGGCCCCAGCCGAGCCTTCAGATGAGATGCAGCCTCAAGAGCAACCCTGAGCCAGAACCAGCCACACTGCTCCTCACTTCTTGGCCACAGAAACCGTGAGATGACAGGTGGCTGGTATACAGCAGGGATGAGACAGATGAGGACGATCCCTGCCATGCCCCCAGCTGGTGGATGGGGGTCAGTTCAACCTAACAAAAGGTGTGGACAGGGCATTCCTCCGCCAGCGAGGTCCTGGGATTCAGCAGCATGGTACCTCCCCTGAGAGGGCCCTGTTGGCACTGTCAGAGCTCACACAGGTGAGTGTCCAGGACAATGGGGACACAACTGAGGCTACTGCTGGCCACGGGACCAGGGAAACCATCAAGAGACACTGATGCTTATGACCAGCCTTACAGCGGGAGGAGGAGGTGTGCCAGGCAAAGGGAAAGCAGGCCAAGACAAAGCACTGAGCCAAAATCAGGCGCCATGGGCTGGGGCAGCCTCAGCCCCTCGGGAAGGTGGCCCTCCTCCAGGCCCGTGAGAGGTCAAGGAATCAACATGCCACACCCCAGGAGTCTCAGGATCCCTTGCCTGTGGAACCAAAGGACTGTCTCTCTCAGGAACCAATGGACCCAGACGCCCTCGTCTGTAAGGTCACAGACCCCGTCAGGGACCAGAGTGCCATGAGCCCACCTGGCTCAGTTCACACAGCCACTGGCCCTACCCCCAAAATGCCATAAAACAGAACTCTTACCTTAAATATCTTTAAGTTGTTCTGTGCCTCCTGTAACAAGCTTTTCAAGGCAAAGTGCATTCTCTGTTTATTTCTAAAAGGGAGAAGTTTGATAGAATTACAAGCAGTCTTTGCATTCACCTCAGGGGACGTGCCTGGGAGCAGTCGCTCGAGGTCTCCAGGCTTTGCGGGTTAAGGAGCCTCATTCTCTCCAGCAGTCCTCACAGAGGCACCCACATCACCGCCCCTAATCCTCAACCTGCTCTCTGCCCCTTCCTCGTGGCAACATCTCCCCAGCCACTAGATCCCACAGGTGACCTGCGAGAATATGTGGAGGCAGCAACCCTGACCCCAGGCAGAACCCTGAGCATCCACAGGTGAGTACCCCCCACCTCACAGAATATCCCCCACGGCCCCCACCTCACAGAATGTCCCCACCTCACAGAATGTTCCCCTACTTCTGCCTCCACCTCACAGAACACCCCCTCACTGCACAGAATATCCCCACCCCAATGTCCCCATCTCACAGACTGCCCCCCTATAGTCCCCACCTCCAGGGAAGGTGGCACAAAGGACAAAGGAGAAGTGTTTTCTTACCCAGAATAGAGATCGAGGGGACAGTATTTACTTATCTGCTTCCACTTCCCAGTTGCCACCTGTTAAGAAACCACCACATGGTGTCAATGGCTGCACTGGGGGCAGCACTGGGCTCAATCTAACACACAGAACAAAGTGACTGTGAGATGACAAAGGCGGCTGAAGGTCCCAGCAAATGCCACCACCTCTGGGTGCACATCACTAGCTGGGGCAGGGCTTGACTCCAACCCCAGGAAACCTTGGCCCTCCTCTGAGAGCCTCACATAGCTGCCAGCCCAGCCCTCCACAGTGACATGGCTAAATTTTGGTAATCAAATGAACGAATCTTTAAAATTATAATATCCAGCAAAGGGAGGGTGTGGCTAACAAGTAACTTCATGTTGTCAGCAAGAAGATACATTGGCACAATCTTTTGAAAGGCAACTTGCTGGTTTCCATCTACATTTTAAATGTGGGTGTCCCCTGACTTGGCCAATGTATGAGGAATCACTGGATCAAGGATATTCAAGGAGAAACCATATGTTAAACCACAAAACAAGTCTCAATAAATTTAAAAGACATGAAATCATCCAAATGTTCTCCAAACTCAGTGGAATGAAATTAATCAACAACAAAAGGAAATTTGAGAAACACACACATATGTGAAAACTGAACACATTACTAATCATCAATGAGTCAAAGAAATCCAAAGGGAAATCAGAAAATAAGACAGACAAAAATGAAAACACAACATACCAAAATTTATGGTAGGCAGAGAAAAAGCAGTACTTCAAGGGAAATTTATACTTGTAAACACCTATATTAAAAAGAAGAAAGATCTCTCCTCAAAGAATTAAAAATAGAAATACCCTATGATCCAGCTATCCCACTACTGGGAATCTATCCAACGAACCTGAAATCAACAATCCAAAGAGGCTTATGCACCCCTATGTTCATTGCAGCATTATTCACTATAGC